GTGGGGGGGAGCCTCGGCCGGCATCAGCACCTTCTGAGTTAGGCAAACCCGAATCGAATCGTTACCACAAAAGTGCAAAATGCTGGATTCACAGGATGAACCGTGAACTTCATGAGGGAGGATCTTCTTTAGATGAAAAGTCACCACCACCCCCCTGCCCTGCCTCAAGGTGGAGTGAGAATTTTTCCTGCTTATTCCGAGGTGGGGAGTAAAAACGTATCCCCCCAATGACATTATACGTGAATATGAACGGCAGAGACAGTCTGCTCGCTTACCGGCTGTATGAAGCTCCTGCTTTTTGGTTAACTCGTAAAACTGAGCCAGTTTGGTGCAAAAGAGAAGTAAAAATTCCTGGGGGAGGGAGTATTGACTGCAGCCGCCTGCAAAGTTACCTTCCATTGAATGGGTTTCCATTAAGTGATAACAAGTCAATAAAATGCCCAAGTAAAGCTCAACGGAGGGGAAAGATCTGATTTCTAACAGGGAATTCTTAACGCAGTTGTTGAGAAACACGCAGGACCAGTTAGTCAAAGCCGGCGTGTTGACTTAGCCCAAGCCACTCCTCACCAGAGAAAGCCTGCAAGGTCCTGCCAGCACACCAGCGTGGTCGCCCCGTACGCACTCTGCCCCAAGGGTCTCCTGGACGCCCCGTCCCAACGGAATCCCATCCCCGAGACCACACAAAAGGAAACCACTCTAGGAAAACGGCGACAGAAGGGCCGGCCGGCCTTGCTCTCGACGTCCCGTGACCACCGCTGCACGAAACGCCTGTGTTTCCACGACGGCCTGCGAACTGTGGTCTCTGAGAAATTCATTTCATCCCAGCCCTTGTGGCGGAGGGAGATTCACCACATGGAAACGCCATCCCAGGATTGCCACAGGGCATTTCTTGCAAGGGGCCCAAGGAATTTTCCAGATGCGGCCCCGATACTCAGAATGTCTCCCGATCCCACCTCGACTGACACCGCTGGAGCCTCTCCTGCGAGCCAGGCGCGGCGCTAGGCACTCTCACAAACCCACCTTCACTCAGCTCGCAGCAGGCTGGGGGGTCACCCCTGCTCTCGCCATGTTCCGCAGGGCCAGGGGCACACTGGGATCTCACCAAGTCGCCTACACCCCAGTCGGGCACCCTGAACCGTGTGGCCGTAAGGTCACAGAAGGAGTGAGCTGGTCTTCATTGTTCTTTTTCCCCTTTCATCGTTCTCCATCTTCTAGAAGATTCTATATTTCCTTCATGCGCAGGTAACGCAGCAGAGATACTGTCTCTCATTCATTCATTCATTCCCCCAACCATTTCACAAAGGTTTTGAAAACATGCACTGTATTTAAAGCAAAGGAGGATCTCCCAGGGGGATTAAGGAGCTTATCCACTAGCCACGTTTTTAAAGCAAAAAGAAGAATGTAAATGTGGGTCTGGCCACTGTACTGAATATTCTTCGGCTTTGCTGTTCTCACCGGTAAAATGTGGGTATTGGAGGAATCGAGCTCTAGGATTTATATCATGCTAACTACATACGCTATAGTAAAGCTCTTCTTCTTATTTTTTTTTAATGTTTATTTATTTTTGAGAGAGAGACAGAGCGCGAGCAGGGGAAGGGCAGAGAGAGCCGGAGACACAGAATCCGAAGCAGGCTCCAGGCTCTGAGCTGTCAGCACAGAGCCCGATGCGGGGCTCGAACTCATGAGCTGTGAGAGCATGACCTGAGCCACAATCAAGAGTCGGACGCTTAACCGATGGAGCCACCCAGGCGCCCCAGTGTGGTTGCTAGTTTTTTAATATCAAGAACAGAGGCTCAACATCCTCATGAGATCAAACACATTCAGGGTGCCTTCCAGCCACGGAGACCCGCACCGTCTTTAAAATAATAGCTCCCTCCTGGAAAAATGAACCACCAGATGTCTGGCAGGACCACAGTGAGACTCAGGCTGGTGGCAGAACCCCCGCAAGCTGACTGTGACTGCAGGGTCACGGGACCAGGACAGCAGTTTCCTCCAGACCTCCACGGTGGCCTCCACGGCCAGGTGCGCTGGACCCGCTGGTCGGAGGGAGCGCCACAATGCTGGGTGTTCCTGCTCCAGGTGTTGAGACCGCCTATAGCGCCAATGACCTCGAGTCACGAAGCTCACAGCATGCCGGCCGTCACAGGAAGGGCGCACGGTCTCGGGAGAATCGGACATACAAAATCCCAAACATCCACATGTTAAAATGGCAGTCGGGCAGGTGCCTGGGCGGCTCAGTCAGTGAAGCGTCCGACTCTTGATTTCGGCTCAGGTCATGATCTCACGGTTCGTGAGTTCGAGCCCCGAATGGGGCTCTGCGCCGACAGTGCGGAGCCTGCTTGGGATTCTCTCTCTCCCCCTGTCTGCCCCTCCCCCCATCGCACGCGCACACTCTCTCTCTCTCTCTCTCTCTCTCTCTCGCTCACTCTCAAAATAAATATGCTTTACAAAAATGGCAGTTGGCCCTCTAAATGCCTTTTCATATTATGAAAGAGTCCACATTTGTGTTTGGTTTGATTTCCGAAACAGTGTGCTCCCGGATTTGTGAAAAAGCCATCTTTTCCATTGTCAATTCTACCTGGTCAGGAGAAAAAAAAATATCACTGCAAATCATGGATGTGAGGGCCTGGAGTGCAGAACTTCGTTGCCCCTCAAAACCCGTAGCATTTTCCACGCCGGAGGTGCGACGACACCACGCAGGACGTCCCGAATTAATCTCGAGTCACCGGCGGAGGACCTGAAAGTCTTTTCTACCAAGATAGAAAATTCTTCCCATTAAGTACTTTCACATTCTGCCTTCGGGTAAGTGAGTCGCAACCCGGCAGAATAGAATAAGCCTCGGCAATGTTACCAATCCTCCTAGGAGCTCGCACAGAACTACATCAAATCTGTAACTACACTTGGCAGGCGTGTGCCAACAAAAATCAGAAAAATGACGGCAGCACGTAAAGAACAAAAGTTCTGGAAATGATTCACGGGACACCTGAAAGGCCTTTCTCTGAAAGCAGCAACTGACTAGCGTAATACGTTTTTCTTGTCAAACCTGAAGGCCAAGTACGGCTTGAGCTGCGTTTCTACAACGCCTCACCGTTCGGCTCGCTTTTTCTCGATACCTCGTCGCCTCTGGTAACACGATCGTCGGAAGGGATGTTCTGGCTCTGTGCAGTCCAAGTCTGTTTCCAAACTTAAATATCTGCGGGAGTCAAAGCCCTCAGATAACAGAATGTCTCTTTGACTTCTCAGGTTCACGTTCTGGCCTCCGATCAGAACCGCCTCTAAATAGCAGTCTGATTATTAATGAGAATCTTGGGTATGGTACTGACAACGTGTGACGCTTTTTCAATGCGATATTACAAAGAACCAGTCTTCCGGTAAAGAGAGGAAGAGGGGCGGATCAACTGATGGGTCTTCAGCAAAAGCACGAAATTAAACGTGCCCGGTTTGGGCCTCGGCATCCGCATTCTTCGCCTACTCCAGGTTTGATGCAAAAGTCTAGAATTATATCGTCACAGAGACAGCCCTAGACGGAGATCGAGTATCTCCACGAGAGCATCTTCACACAATACGTACATTTCAAAAGGAGGAAACTGAGTCAGGGAGGTGGACCTTGGGCCTCCTTCTCTGTCTGAGTCTCGGTTTCCTCATCCCTAAACAGATCAGGCTAACACCTGAGCCTTACATAAATGACTCGGGGTGCTGAGGCCTCACCAGAAAGATCTTCCCCGAGAGAAAAAAGGGGGGCCCCATCTCCAGAAAATAGCGCGTGCAGCCTGGACCCCGAACCCCACAGATCTGAGCCTTCAGTATACTCATCCAGAAAAGAATTTTCTCTCTAAGAGTACTCACCATTAGATTGATTTTTTTCTAAGTACCCCTGGAAACGTTTCTAAATTTTAACTTGACTTACCCAAAATAAAGGTTTTACATTTTTCAAAACCACATAAAACCATTTTAAACTGTTTGAATTTTTACCGCATGTCAGAGTTAGTTTTTCACTAAAACAAAAACAAAAACACAGAACTACTCAATATTAAAAAAGAAAAAGAAAAAGAAACAAATTTCCAGTGGCCCTTAAAAAACAGTAAGCACAAAGAAGGCAAGGATTTTGGAAGGATTTTAGAAGATACTTCTTTATGTATTCCCCGGGTCCGTAGCCAGTGTTTTGTTTTGTTTCAGGCACACGTCACTGATACTGCAATTTTGGAATAAATCAATAAAATCCACTTTTTAAAGTCAGCCACGTGCATGGTTTTTTTTTAATTTTTAAAAAATCTTTGTTGATTTTTGAGAGAGAGACAGAGTGTGAGCCAGGGAGGAGCAGAGAGAGAGGGAGACACAGAATCAGAAGCAGGCTCCAGGCCCCGAGCTGTCAGCACAGAGCCTGACGGGGGGCTCGAACCCACAAACCGCGAGATCATGACCTGAGCGAAGTTGGATGCTCAACTGCCTGAGCCACCCAGGCGCCCCAAGCTGGATGCATATTTTAACGTACCCTTTAAGCCTGGCGTTTCAATGGCCCAGATACTTTTAATGGGAAGACAGAGGAAAGTAAGGAACTGCTGATTAATTTGTAGTCGTCTCACAGGACAAAAGCAAGGACACCATCCTCGCTGGTGCAATTCGCTTCTCTTCAGATGGCAGAGAACAGTAGTGGGGATGGGCCTGAATGCAAGCCCTCGGAACATGAGGCAGGCGATGCTGTCACTTCTGAGCACATTTCAAGCCTCTGATCTTTCACGAACAGACAGGCAGGTGCAAAACCTTGGAACCTTCCGGGGCAGGGGCAGGCACCTGTCAGGCTCATCAGAAGCAAAGCCCACGCTGAAGGAAAGGCCTGAGGCACTCTGCACGTTTCTGAGGATGTCTGTGCAGCTCCCACCCCCGGAAGCAAAGGAGAGACCGGCCTGCTGCCCACATTCCCTTCCAGTAAAAAGGCCCCTGCCATCGTGCGTCATCTGAATGGCCAGGCAACTTTCAGAGCGCGTTTCCAAACAACCTGCTCTTCACTTTGTTTTGAACCACAGGGAGGGCCCATGGATTTCGTGCACTGGCCCCAGGGTGGCGGGAGACCCAGCGGGAGCTAACAAAGTCACCAGCTTCAGCATCCCCCCCC